GGCGAGGTATGGGTGTGTGCTCGCTGGGCAGCGAGTGTCTCCGGAGCTGCGGTACCTGGGGCGTCCGCCCCCCGCCTTCCGGCGCTTACCGCGTGTGCTACGGTTTCCCGACCTGCTTACAGGTGCACCCCCTGCAGACCGGCCTCTGCCCCGGGAGAGGGGGCCTCCCGCCCAGCCGCTCAGCGCCCGGGTCCTGCCCACCGACCCGCGCGCCACGCTCCGGCAGCTTGGCTCCCCGCAGCCCCGACGGCCGCTCTGATACTCACAGACTCGACTTAGTGCCTCCCGCGCTAGTCTCCGACCTCAGAGTTCACGGAGAGGTCAACAGACACTGATACTTGGAAGGCAGCATGAAGAATAGATGAATGTAATGAGAATGAGGACAGAAATGAGCACTACCTTCTATTAAAATGCCTGGGGATGCTATCTGGGAAAGGGAGACCAGGTGACTAGTTTAATCAGCCTTGGAGGAACGTGGCAGCAGAGAGGCTGGGGAGCGCTGACGCCCTTGAAGTGGATGTCTAAGCCAGGATTAGTAAGAATGAGCAGAGAAATGGTGTCTGCTTGAGGGGGCTGTTGGGGGAGACGGTTAGGAGGGGTAATAAAGACGCGACATAAAACAGGACTGAGGGGTGGGGGAGGATGTTCGTATTGATCTGGGAATGAGAGTGAAGGAACGCAAGAGTAGAAAACACTAAACCTGGTCCATGAGAAGCCATGCAAGGATTTAGAGCAGAGCAGCAAGAATGAGAGATTTGTGTGTTTAAAAATTCAATCTGGCAACACAATTTTGAGGGTGACAAGGTTAGAGGTTGAATAACAATGAGGACTATAAAATACTAGAGGCCCAATGCACAAAATTCGTGCAAGGGGCTCCGCCCTCACATCCAGCTTCACATCCAGCATCATCAGGAATGTCATCAGGTCTAATTAGCATATTATGCTTTTATTATTATAGACTAGAGGCCCAGTGCACGAAATTTGTGCACTGGGGGGTGGGGTTCCCTCAGCCCAGCCTGCCCCTCTCACAGTCCAGGAGCCCTCAGTGGATGTCCGACTGATGGCCACAGTCTGGCAGCAGAGACTCGGAGCAGGTGTCCCGTGTGTGTGTGTGTGTGTGTGTGTGTGTGTGTGTGTGTGTCCCAGCTGGGGGCCTGTCCCCAGCTGTGTAGGAGGCTCAGAGCAGTTGCTTCGTGTGTGTGTGTGTGTGTGTGTGTGCGCGCGCACATGTGTGTGTGTGTGTGTGTGTGTGTGTGTGTGTGTGTGTGTGAGATGCATGTGAGTGTACACAAGAGTTTGGACAGGGTTGAGTGGGTGAGTATGTTTTTGGGAAGTGAGAAGTGAAGAGGAAAGAAAGATAGGATAATAAAGATTTTGTTTTTATAATAGATATGCTAAATATAATCTGATGATATAGGGGACATAGCAGAAAGCACTTGAGATGGGCAATGCAGTTAATAGATTTGAGTTTTACTCCTGATCTCCAGGCAGCTAAAAACTATTATTCTCCTTGAACAT